TTATTTATTTATTTATTTATTTATTTATTTATTTATTTATTTATTTATTTATTTATTTATTTATTTATAATGTATATCGGTTTCGGATGGAGCCAAGTTCAGCCTCCTTTCCAACCATCTCTTGATTAGAAAGCGTTTTTCAGAGTTTGGCAATCCGAACTTGTTATAAGAATGAAGCATTAAGCGATTAAAGGAGATCCTTCCTTTTCGTCTGATGAGCTTGATCGATGGGCCTCTGTAGATGAAGGTCAGCTCGGTGATTCATCAAAGTTCAGCTCCTCTTCTCACAGCTATTACCGAGGCGCGAGTGTGCACCAAAACGGAGGTGGGTTCGACTCTAAAAAGGCATCCGAGCGTGAACAAATGATTTCCGGTACCAAGTTATGAGATGAGGCCGGTACGATAAAGCACATGACTCTGTGGAGGCTGGCGGTAAATCCACCGAACCAACCAATTCGCAGGACCATTGAGGACAATACGAGGTGTTACCAACCCAAGCATTAATGATTATGATCATAATATTTCGAGCAATTTTTAAATGTCGACATGGTTACACCCGTGCTCAAAAGGTGTGATTGTTGATGAGACCAAAAGACGAGCTCCCGATGCGTGCTGTCTCGAGTGCGCCAATCCAGGTTTGGCTGACTCAGCCAAAGCAACAGACCCCTTCCAGGCGTCCTTCCTCACGCCTGGAGAAGACCTTAACTACAGAATTGGGCATAGGTTAGGGACGGACTGCCTGCTTTGTGTTGTCAGGTCGAGCCCCCGCTCTCACAGCCCGGCTCTAGAGACCAGTGCACAGACATTATGGAAGCAAATACTGGACAAGTCGGCTCGCAGACATGTTTTTGTGCGTGTGTTTGAGTCTGCATGTGTCTGTATATATGCATGTTTGTGTCTACGTGCCTATGCGTAATTGTATGCGCGTGTGAGTGTGTATTTGATGGAAATCCAAATACAGTTGTCCGTAGTCATGTCACCGGTACGGCAATTTGACCGGGTCCGGCAGGCTGGAACGCGTCGAAATGGCATGGCAGCTGTACCCTCACTCGAAGCACCG